ATAACAAATTGTAACCAACCATCCTAAACAATAATTATCCAAGACCCATAAACAGACCAAATACCACTCACACCACCTCTTGGGAATGTGGGCGTCATGTTAGTAAAATTAATTCCTGCTGTTTGGGGACAAAGGTATCTTTAGGTGATCCTGAAAAGAAAAATTTTGAATTAATTGTCAAGTCCTGGGGGAGGAAGCTATATCAATTGTTGTCCAGTCTCTGCATAATGCAAAAGTGCAGGGCTTATCTCAAGTCCTTGTTCAAGTAGTCTGTGAGGCTGGATCATCGCAGAGAGCCATTTTGGAATTGTCCTGAGCAGTTTGTAGTCCAAAGCTTATCTTTGGGTGATGTTTGTCAGCTTAGTGGTATTATTATCGTCCATATTGAATAGTCATTGTGGGGCCCCATCATCTTCTTAAAGCCTTCAAATTTGCTGTTAGTGTGGTCGTGATTCCTTGCAGAAAACTGAGAGAGACTCAAACACAAAAACTTGTACAGGCAGCCAGCTATCTGTGTTATTTTACATTTTTGGAAGTTGCTTACAATGCACTTCCTGTTTGCTTAGGTAATATATCCTTCTGGAGTCTTTGATGTAGTTGAAAAAAGATAATTATAATTATAATTTTTCCTTAATTATGATAAATGATAAATTAAATACAAAACTTTAGACTCACAAATATACGCTAGATAGAATGTTTTCATTGATTTTTGCCAAATACAAATAGTCTAGATATTATAACTGCAATTCTTGCTTGATAACTCTTCTATTATATGCAGTTTTACTATGTGAAAGTTAAAACTTTCCTTTTTATTAGATAGAAAAGGGGAAGGGCTGTGGGATCTTTCTGTATGCTGTGAATATGTGTAGCTCTGATTGGTTGATAAATAAAGCTGCATTGGCCTATGGCAGGGCAGGAAGGAGCCAGGTGGGAAAATCCAAGGGAGATAGGGAAAGGAAAAAGAAGAGGCAGGAGAGACACTATCTTGCAGTCAAAGAAGCAGCACGTAATGGCACACAGGTAAAGTCATGGAACACGTGGTGACATATTGATTAATAGAAATGGGCTGATTTTAGTTACAAGAGCTACCTAGTAAGAAGCTTGAGCCATAGGCCATCACCATACAATTCATAATTAATATAAGCCTCTGTAAGTTTATTTGGGTTTGAGCAGCTGTGGGACCAGGCAGAGCACAGGAAAACTTCAGACTACACACCTCTCTGTATGAACTACTATCCCTATACTATCAAGTGAATTCCTTTTGGAATAAAGCAACAGACCACTACTTTCTACCCATCCAAAGGCTGAGAATATTATTAAATGATTATTGAGCTTATACTAGATTTTACACAGCTAGCTTCAATCTCCCATACTTGATGCTCCCATTAATAGAACTGGGGCAGAGAAAGCGAGAGCACACAGGGCAGAGGTGGCACATGCCTTTAGAAATTCATTAATAATAGTTATGCAATAAGCAGGGAATTCTTTTTCTATGTCCTATCTAATGTCAATTGTTCTGGGTGTGCTACAAGCACATATTCATAATCCTATATTCTTAATGGTGCCAAAAGATTTTGAAAACTCTAATTCAATATATTGCAAGTGTATCATGGGATTTTATCATTGCTGGTTTTTCTAATAGAATTTCTTGCCAGGTGGTGGTGGCTCACTTCTTTAATTCCAGCACTTAGGAGCCAGAGGCAGGCAAATCTCTGTGTTTGGGGACAGTCTGGTCTACAGAGCTGGTTCCAGCACACTAGCACAGTCAGGTCTACATGGTGAAACCCTGACTTGAAAACACACACACACACGCACACACACACACACAGAGAGAGAGAGAGAGAGAGAGAGAGAGAGAGAGAGAGAGAGAGAGAGAGAGAGAGCTTAAACTTAATACCAAAGATGAGAGGAGAAAGACCACCAACCCAAGTCATCATTGCCAAGTTAATTAAAGCAAGCTTTTTTATTTTTATTTGTGTACATGGACTGCCCTCCTCTAAGTTGGAGTCAAGAGGTCAACAATGGACATGAGGAAAAAAAAGGTTTTGTAGCTTAGAGGTAGGGGCTTTCCAAAAGGGAGGATTTGGTGGACAAAGTAGGTGGCGTTACAGGAAGAGAACAAAAGCATAACAAGTTCATCATAACAGTCTCCTCAAACAAAGACATAGTGGCAAGGTGGGCATAACAATTTAGTTATAACAACAGGTAGTCATAACAACTTTTTGAAACAAAGATATGGTTGTCTTTTCTCAGAGCAGGCCATAGAGAACCATGTGTAGATAAGGTTACAGGTGACATATAGCCCAATCCTTGAGAAGCAAAGGTTTAATCATAAATAGGAATGAACATAGTTTGTCTTTATTATAAGATGATCTTTAACTCTAAGATGGAGGAAGGCTGATTCATCAGTAGCCCAGGCTATTCTCAAATTCACTATGTAGCCAAGGATGATCTTGAATTTCTGATCTTCCTAACTCTACCCCTTATGTGCTGGGGTTATATTCATGTACCACCATGCTTGAATTTTGTGGTGCTGGGAATCAAATCCAGCCAGGACTTCCTGCATACTTGGTAAGCAATCTACCAAATGAGCTCTCTCTCTCCACAAAAGCTGTTTTTGCATTGACAGAGGAACATCTGGCTTGAACATTGTACTCAATTGTAATTTCTAGCTGGCTATAGACTGTTGTGGAACAATCTCTGTACACTGTAAATATGTATTGCTCTCTTTGTGAATAAAAAACTGATTGGTCAATACCTAGACAGGATTTTTTTGGGCAGAGAGAATGCTGGGAGGGACAAGGGCTGAGTCTGAGTGTCATTGGCAAGATACAGAGGGAGCAGGATATGAGGTAACCAGCCATGAGCCATATGGCAGCACATAGATTAATAGAAATGGGTTAATTTAAGTTACAAGGCCTAGCTAAAAATCAAGTCTTAGCAATTGGTTGCACATTTATAATTAATAAGAAGTTTCTTTGTGGTTTTTTGGGGGGAACTGGCTGGTGAAAAATGAAAGTCTGACTACAATAGACAGACACAGGTCCTCCTAGTAACTTTCTGAAACATGATGTGTCATCCATATCCTTCTTTGAATCCGGCAGTAAAACCACTCGAGCAAAAAGAGTATCCATCCTACCCTAACCCAACGCTAGGCCATATGTAGTTCCTTAAATGACAAATTGAAATAATAAGGAAATGTAAAGATATAGGGGCTAATGTAGAGATGTAGGGACTGGGGTATATATTAAGCATGAGGTTCAGTTCTCAGCACAGTCAGCCAGAATAGGATGCAAATATTTAATGATATACAAATATGTTGTCAATGTTTTTAGAAAATGAACAGAATAACTTACAGAACAATTTGGATAAGATACTTGAATTACACTATTCCTCACTTGCTTGGCCTGGTGGTGCAGACTTGTAACTCCAGCTACTCTGGAGGTAAAAGCAGGAGGGTAGGAAGTTCAAAGCTGGCTTGGGCAACTTAGCCAGACCCTGTCTCAAAACAAATTTTGATTAAAAAGAGCTAGGGATGTAGTTCAGCCAGCTCAGGCTAGAGTGTGAGTCCTTGTTTCAGAAACAACAAAATGAAAACATTTAAGCATTTTGTTTAAACATTCATCAGAAAATGGACATGTGTCTTGTTTCACACTTGAGGTCATGTGAAAAATGGTATCAGGAACATACATGGAAGGAATTTGTGTAGAATGGGCTGCTTTCAATCAAATAGGAGAAGAACTATTTGAGTGGAGGTACAGGACGATCAGATAGAAAGAGGAAATCAGGGGTACAGGGTAGAGTGGGGGAAGGGGGAATGAAAAAGTAAAATGAAACACATCTATAAAAATGTCATTTCATCAATAATGAAAGGCAACAATTTGTCTGCTAATTTAAAAAATTAACACTGGGAGGTGGTAGCACACATATTTAGTTCCAGTACTTATCCAGATGCAGGTAGATCTCTGAGTTTGAGGCTAGTCTGAATCTACAGAGCGAGGTCCAGGACAGCCAGGGGTACACAGAGAAACTCTGTCTCTAGAAAAATGAAACACCAACAACAGCAAAAACCTTTAACAAGCACAGAGCACATATAAAAAAGGAATATCTCTTTTGGTTTCTTGGCTCTGTAGTAGAGCACAGGTACCATGAAGACAGGAAGGGGAAATGGGGAGAAACATAAGTGGGGAGGGCAATGACTGGGTGGGGGTGGGGGTTGGGGGAGGGTGATGTATGGGGTGGGAAAGCTAGCAGGAGAGGGAATGGATAAAGAATGCTTTGTGTGTTTGAAAAAATCCATAGACAGATCTAGTTCTCATAGGCTTTCTTAAAAATGCATATACAAAATATGTACATGTAGTTTAATTGGAAATATCCCATCCTGGGGAATAATGCCCTCCCCTGGAAGCACAGACATTAGGAGAAAAAAATCTGGTGCCAGGTGTGTGAAACCTCCTTTGAGTTTTGTGGTTTGATAGTCCAAGAGATTTCCTCAGACAATATAAACTGTTGCCATTGGTCTGGTTGCCTGCCAGAACTTGAGGACATGCCCCTCCTGAAGAGCAAGCAACCACTGCTCTTCCAAAGGACCCAGGCACAGTTCCCAGTACTTCTGCGGCAGCTCACCACCATCTGTGTCTATAACTTCGGTTCCAAGGGATCCAGTGCCCTCTCAGTTCCTCTTCTGTCCTCTGTGGGCACAATGAATGCTTGTGGTACACACACATATATGCAGGCAAAACACCCGAAGGGGTGTGGTGGCACAACACTTTAATCTTTATTAAAACCTATTTAAGCTTGTTTCTCCCGTAAATGCTAATTTCCCGTTATATGGTTCCCTCAGTCATCCTTTGTCTCACTTAATGGAGTCAAAGATTTTCTCAGAAAGGAGCAAAGAAACCCTCGCGGCTTTCCCAGGTCCACAGATCCCGCCCCTTTGAGACTCTGGGGCGGATCTAGGATAGATCAGTTATCCGCTGGGCGGGGCCAGCACTCAGAGGGACAGGAATTTCCTTCTTCCTTTCCTACTTCCCCCTCAACCAAGAGTTGGGAGAGTGGGAAGAAGGCGCCAAGTGCAAGCTGCTGGCGCTTGCAGCCCCCAGAGGCCTGAGATCCGACCACAGGACCGCCCTGCCTGGACCACGTAAGATTCTTGCATTATCCCCACCTTCCTGGTAGCTTGAGCGATCTCTCTGGAGCCAGGGCCTCTCCAGTCCCTGAGTGTGGGACCCTGAACCTGGAGCCTTGGGACTTGGCGCTCACTGAGACGGACCCTCTGGCAGGTGGAGGAGACACCACGTGGGATGGCCTTGTTCATGAGTTTAGGGAAACTTGAGTTTGTGCACTGGGCAGTATCCAGAAAGCCTGGTGGAAGGGCCTCGTGGGGGACTCGGAATCACTTCCCTGGTCCAGAGGAGGCTGCGGTAGGCCAGAGAGGGCTCAGGGACTCAGCACTAAGCAGGGCCCCCTACTCTCTGCCTGTGCACCGCCATTTAGGCGCGGGTGCTGTGGTGGTTTGAGCTAAGTAATCGCTAAAGTGTAGCCGCCCTGTGCAAGGCTGTGCGGGTTCCCCAAACTTACTGCAAGAACGTTTACTTTCGGGGATGTTTCAGAGGGGAAAACATCACCAAAAACAGCTGCCTTTCTGAGTGTGCATTGGAAAGATCTCACAAAATTTCAGGGGCATTTTTTTCTTTCCAGAAAGACAGGGTTTCTTTGTGTAGCCCTGGCTGCCCTGGAACTCACTCTGTAGACCAGGCTGTCCTCCATCTAAGAAATCCTTCTACCTAATTCTCCCAAGTGCTGGGATTAAAGACAGTGACCACCGGCCAGTCACATTTTCACTGGTCTAGACTCTAGAGTTTTGTGAACTGGAGAAGATATGAAATCATGGTTATGAATATTTTACAGCACTGATTTACCAGGACCTTGCTCATGTGAGGAAAAGCACTCTGCCCTACAACCACTTGCTCCCTGGAATATTAAAGGAATAATGAAACTTAAATTTTAAAATTTTTATGAAGAGATTCTTTCCTATCCCAAAGTTTATAATAATACATAATATGCCTAAGAAGAGCAAGTCCTACTTAAAAAAACAGATCAAAATGCAAATTATGTACAAATGAGGGCATTGTCGGTATTTGTGGGTGTTCCTCTGTATCCTTGTATTGGTGGTTAATCATACTGAAGCATAAGCCTCCAATGCAGCATTATTTAAAACTTAAAGTTTCTGAAGAGATTGATATCATAGTCCCTACTTATTTACCACGATGAATATTATGTTCACATATAGCCACGGGCTTTTTTTTTTTTTTTTGCTGTGTTTTTACTCAAATGTAGGAATACTTAAGCTTCCTCCTCTAGAGTCTAGAATGATAAAGGAATGTCCTAATACACAAAACAACACAAAACAAGTTACCTCTCTGCTTAGTTTCTGCATCCCTACAAGGTTTATCAAGGTTTATCAGTGAACCAGGCATGGAACTAGGAACTTCCTGTACATAGCCATCGCTCTTTCTCAAGTTTGTGTATACTCCAAGGTGACTTGATACCTGAGAAGCTTTAGGTTCTCTTCCTCTATTATTTTTCAAACTAAGTGTCTTGTCTCCAACATACTCCTGCTTTCATCACCCAAGGCTAAGATAAGAGGCCTCTTTTTTTTTTTTTTTTTTTTTTTTGGTTTTTCGAGACAGGGTTTCTCTGTGTAGTTTTGCTCCTTTCCTGGAACTCACTTGGTAGTCCAGGCTGGCCTCGAACTCACAGAGATCCGCCTGGCTCTGCCTCCCGAGTGCTGGGATTAAAGGCGTGCGCCACCACCGCCCGGCTCAAGAGGCCTCTTATAACACATTCAGCACGGCAGAACTATTTTTGAAGTTTACTTTATCTATTAAATTTCTATGTGTGTGTGTGATAATGTGTGTGCGTGTGTATACAAAGTGTGTATGTGGTGCATGAGGCACGTATACACAGTGGTTAGAACAATTATATGCAGTTAGTTTTCATTGTTAACCTGGTCTGAAACAGGGTCTCTCTTATTTTTACATTTTCAGCGCACACTCCAAAATGGTGGACCTCAAAATTTTGGCGTTATTCTGCTCACTTCTTTAATTTCTCTCTACCTAAACAAAGGTAGAACAACAGGGGCGCTATAATTTGCAGAGGATCTAGACACAGGTTTTCAGGCGCACACAAGGAAATGTTTTTACCTGAGACACCTCTGTGATCTTACAATTCTTCTTCTATGACTGTTACAACTTTTTATATGTCGACATCAATTTTAAGTATATTTTTAAGTCAAGGAAATTACTCCGTGTTTATATCCTTATAGGAAAGATAAAGAGTGGGCTTTCAATGTCATTTGAAACTATAAGGGTCAGGATAGAATAATTAACATAATCATATGATATATATATATATATTATATACAAATTAAAAATAAAAATATATAATATGTATGAATGCTGTATAAGATCACATATATTTAAATTAAATATTCTCTCAGATACAGAGAGTTCTGTGCCTGACAGGGTCTTGGGGAAGTTAGAGAAGGGAAAGAGAAGTTTCCTGTGTGGGGCCTGGTAGTTGGTGTAGGGTAGGGTGGGGAGTGGGAGGTTAGGGGTGGGAGGCAGAAGACTGTGCAGAGGAGAGGGATTGTGACAGAGCTGGAGGTAGGTCAGAATGGTTGCCTGGTGCTGCCTAGGAGACGGTTATGGTGGGAGCCGGGACCCAGGGTTTGGTGACAAGAGGGCAGGTGGGCGCAATGTTTCTTCTTTTGATGTGTCCTTGTCTCCTCCTCAGGGACCTGGTCGGCCTCCTGTTGAGGCGAGGTTGTGGATGTCCCCGGACCCTAGTGCTCCCTGCTTCGGATGATGTAGGGCAGCATCCACCTGAACGCACATCACTACCAAGGCCAAGGTTTTGGAAGGAAGCCCTTCTCCTCTCCCATCTCAATATTAGACCATGGGACCCTGGGCCACGGGGCTCAGGCCGCCGACCCTGGAGCCCTGACCAGTGAACACAGCTGCCTGTCCTTTACCCTTGTGTCCATCCAGGAGCGGCCTTCTGCCAGGTGGGAAGCCTGTGCTGGGCCTAGGGTCCCATTGAGTCGGGTGGTCACCTCTCTTGTTTTCAAACCTCCGCGTGTTCTCTCGGTTCTGGGACACCACCAACCCACTGCCCTAGCAGGACCGGGGTCAGCATGGGAGGCCCCTCTTGGCTGGTCCCTTGACCTTGAAGCTTGGGTCAGCAGACCCAAGGCCATCCTGGCAGCTGTACTGGTCACCCTGGTGGGTGGAGTCATGTAGACAGCCAGTGGATCTCTGAAAGCTGCTGTGTGTGTGTGTGTGTGTGTGTGTGTGTGTGTGTGTGTGTGTGTGTGTGTGTGTGTGTTTGGGGTGATGGCTGGGCAAGGGCAGGGATGCAGCTGTGAGAATACCCTGGTTTGGCAGCTAGGGGGCGACGCTCAGCCCCTGGTCCCCAAATCCATGAGTGTGTTTCTGAGGCTCCTCCCCTAGAATCCAGATGTGGTTTATGGAGGACTCTCTTAGGGTCTGGTGCAGGCTCTCAAGTGGACCTGCTCCCACATCTACACACTCCCCACTTGGCCCCCTCCATGACACCCTCCACCACCCACCCCATCTCCTGGCAGCCTACCATACCCTCAGTCAGGGCCTTCAGGGGGTGGCAAAAGGCCCAGTGTCTCAGGGCAGTGCAGGGAACGGAGGAACCTGTTAAGGTCGGTAACCTCCATCTGCACACCACACCCTCACCTGCTGAACACCCTGGGATCTCTAGCAGCAGCCCTAGACAGCCTCATGTCTGTCAAGTCCCCTCCTACATGGTTGGTCTCCATCTTGGAGCTTGGCAGGAGAAACCTGGCATTTTTTTAAATTTTTTTTTATTTTTTTGCGTTGCGAAGGGCGGAGGGAGAGCACCCTTTGACCTTGGCAGTTGGTATTCACAGGGCACTGCTGCCATCACATGGACTCAGTTTGCCAATTCTGCCAGCAAGGTCCCCTGCTTCCCTGGAAATGGAGGAGGCCCGCTAGGGAAGGTCTCCTGCCTGGGTCCCCCAGGACCAAGTTGGTTCTCTTTCCCACTCCATGACCCAGGAGAGCTAGAGGAGGAAGCAGGGTACAGGTGACCAGCTCAGGGTGGGCGCCATGAGGCTTGGCTTGCAGGTCACAGAAGCACAGCTTCCCGGGTCCTGAGGCCGGCATGTCTGGCCGCAGCAGAGGACCTCTCCGCATGGGATTGTGCAGCCTGGGCTGCATCATGGTCGTTTTGGGGACATTTCCTACCCGTGTGCCAGAACGCCTGCCCTTACTGTGGTGCACAAGACCACCCTGGGACCCCTTAGCTTTTGTCTGAGCCTCCCTAGCGGTATCCACAGCTCACTTCCGGAGACCACACAAACTCTGCCCTGCATCTCTGGGAGGTGCTCAAGGTCTCAGGCCTGGTTACTAACCACCTTGGCCAAATGTCTGTCATCCATTTAACTCTCACCCTGCCATCCCCTCTCCTCTCTGGCTGCCAGGCCTTCTCTCTGGCTTTCCTTTTGTTCCTTTTACAAGCTTCCCCCTTGAGCTGTGCTATAGGTGGAATTCAGAGACCGGGACCTGTCAGAAAAGGTTCCTGCTGCAGAGCCACATCCCCAGATCCCTACAAGGGCTCTGAAAGCCCCCCACCCATCATCATCCTATGCAAGGTGGTTGTGTGTACCCAGCAAGGCAGTGTGCTGGCTCAAAGTGAATCCCAGTAGAAGCAGCTCGAACAGGATTTGGACACAGGGGTGCTCATAAACAGGCATGGCAGAACGTAGGTACCATGGTGGCCAGGTTTCATGGTCCCTGCCTCCCCCGACAAGCCTCCTCTGTGTTATGCAGGACACACATGCAGACCGCATACTCCTTCCTGTGTTCTCCTGCCTAGCTCCCTTTGCCTTAAACCCAGGGAGACCTCCCAGGGTCAAAGGTCAAAAATCCCCTTGTCCTGCACTCACTCCCCTGTGCAGGCATCATCTCAGCAGGAAGAATATTTAGAGAAGGCTCTGAAATTAACAGAAAGCTCTATCTAGAGTCCTAGAACTGCTACGCATGGAGGAGTATTTGTGAGTGTGTGTGTGTGTGTGTGTGTGTGTGTATGTGTGTGTGTGTGTGTGTGTGTGTGTGTGTGTGTGTGTGTGTGTGTGTGTGTGTGTGTGTTGGGTGTTTGTATACCTGGGATTATTGTGGCCTAGTCCTGTGAGAAGCCATAAGCAATGGCTGAGAGGCACAGTATGTAACAGTTATGGTGGTCAGCTCTGGGATGTAGAGGAAGGACAGGTTTGCATGCAGGGGAAGCCTTCTAGGGCTCTATCCTTCAGCTCCAGCTCAGGTGAGCACAAGGTTTGGAGTGGTGCATCGTGTGTGTGGTTGGGGGCTCAGGCCTTGCCGGGTCATGGTGGATGAGAGCATTGTGTAGGAACCATTGGAAAGGTGGTGGGACCCTCCATTGGAGTGGCCTGCCAGACAGGTCTAGGAAGTCAGGGCCTCCACCCTTACCAAGGCACCAGGAAGCTCCCTTTTTATCCTAAGCAAATGTCTCCATGAGGCTTTGTAGAGAAGGAGATTTGGAAGAGCATAGACAGGCTTGTCTCCAGGTGGCAGGGAGAGTGATTTTCTTCGAGGCTCCATGATGGAAGATGTCAGCAGTGTGGAGGAGGTCCTCTGGAGACTTTCAGTGCTCATGGAAGGAAGGCTTCCTGTTGGGGAGTGCAAAGCATTTCCCAACTGAACATGGCCTAGCTACCGTGGATACCAGGGATGGGACGGTACATAGGAGCGAAGGATAGAGAAAGACAGAGATAGAGGTAGAGGTGGAGGTAGAGGAGGATAGATAAATGAGGGGGGGGCGACAGGGACAGAGAGGGGGGCGGGACAGGATGAGAGAGGGTAGGAGAGCACATTAGAATCTGCATGTGGGGTGTTGGGTGTTTTCGTGATTGTTGGTGTTTTTTTCATGCAGGCTGGTGGGCAGACCCACTCTGTCTGTGGACACTTTTTTCTGTTGCATGGGTCTGGGCCCCTGCAGGGAATTGTGTGTAGGACACCTGCAATGTTGTGGGATATCCATAAGGACAGACAGGGTGGGTGTGTGCTGCAGGCATCCTGGTGATGGTGTTAAGAGTGAGAATTACTTCTTGTCCCTTAATTCTATGTTGCTGTCCTCGGGCCAGTTGAATCTTTTGAGAGAGCTGAGTCTTGTGTGTGCCTAGGCCCTGCCACAGGTAGGTGGGTGTCCACAGAGGATACAGAGAGTTCTGTGCCTGACAGGGTCTCGGGGAAGTTAGAGAACGGAAAAAGAGAATTTTCCTGAGTGGTGCCTGGTAGTTGGTGTAGGGTAGGGTAGGGAGGTGGGAGGTTAGGGGTGGGAGGCAGAGGACTGTGCAGAGGAGAGGGATTGTGACAGAGCTGGAGGTAGGTCAGAATGGTTGCCTGGTGCTGCCTAGGAGACGGTTAAGGTGGGGGCCGGGGCCCGGGGTTTGGTGACAAGAGGGCAGGTGGGCGCAATGTTTCTTCTTTTGATGTGTCCTTGTCTCCTCCTCAGGGACCTGGTCGGCCTGCCTGTTGAGGCGAGGTTGTGGATGTCCCCGGACCCTAGTGGTCCCTGCTTCGGATGATGTAGGGCAGCATCCACCTGAACGCACATCACTACCAAGGCCAAGGTTTTGGAAGGAAGCCCTTCTCCTCTCTGATCTCAATATTAGACCATGGGACCATGGGCCACGGGGCTCTGGCCGCCGACCCTGGGGCCCTGACCAGTGAACACAGCTGCCTGTCCTTTACCCTTGTGTCCATCCAGGAGCGGCGTTCTGCCAGGTGGGCTGCCCGTGCTGGGCCTAGGGTCCCATTGAGTCGGGTGGTCGTCTCCCTTGTTGTCACACCTCTGCGTGTGCTCTCGGTTCTGGGACACCACCAACCCACTGCCCTAGCAGGACCGGGGTCAGCATGGGAGGCCCCTCTTGGCTGGTCCCTTGACCTTGAAGCTTGGGTCAGCAGACCCAAGGCCATCCTGGCAGCTGTACTGGTCACCTTGGTGGGTGGAGTCATGTAGACAGCTGCTGGATCTCTGAAAGCTGCTGTGTGTGTGTGTGTGTGTGTGTGTGTGTGTGTGTGTGTGTGTGTGTATGTGTGTGTGTTTGGGGTGATGGCTGGGCGAGGGCAGGGATACAGCTGTGAGAATACCCTGGTTTGGCAGCTAGGGAGTGATGCTCAGCCCCTGCTCCCCAAATCCATGAGTATGTTTCTAAGACTCCTCCCCTTTAGTCCAGATTGGCATGTGGTTTGTGTAGGATTCCCTTAGGGTCTGGTGCGGGCTCTCAAGTGCTTCTGCGCCCACATGCACACACTCCCCACTTGGCCCCCTCCATTACACCCTCCACCACCCGCCCCCTCTCCAGGTACTACATGATACCCTCAGGCTGGGCTATCATGGGATGGCAGGTGCCCAAAGCCAAGTGTCTCAGGGCAGTGCAGGGCATGCAGGAACCTGTTAAGGTCGGTATCCTCCATCTGCACACCGCACCCCACCCGCTGAACACCCTGGGATCCCTAGCAGCAGCCCTAGAGTCTCATGTCAGTCCAGTCCCTTCATACTTACTTGGCCTCCATCTTGGAACTTGGCAGGAAAACTCTTTTTTTTTCAAATTTTTTTGCTTTGCGAAGGGCGGAGGGAGAGCACCCTGTACCCTTGGCCATTGGCATTCTGGGTGCACTGCTGACATCATGCGGATTCAGTTTGCCGATTCCGCCAGCAAGTCCCTGTGCTTCCCTGGAAATGGAGGCGGCAGGCTAGGGAAGGGCTCCCGCCTAGGTCCCCCAGGACCAAAGCGGTTCTCTTTCCCACTCCATGAGCCAGGAGAGCTGGAGGAGGAAGCAGGGTCCAGGAGACTAGCTCCGGGCGGGCGCCCCGAGGCTTGGCTTGCGGGTCACGGAAGCACAGCCTCCCGGGTCCTGTGGCCGCCATGTCTGGCCGCAGCAGAGGACCTCTCCGCAGGGGATTGTGCAGCCTGGGCTGCATCAAGGTCGTTTTGGGGAGATTTCCTACCCGTGTGCTGGACCGCCTGCCCTTACTGTGGTGCCCAAGTCCACCCTGGGACCCCCTAGCTTTTGTCTGAGCCTCCCTAGCGGTATCCACAGCTCACTTCCGGAGACCACACAAACTGTGTCCTGCATCTCTGGGAGGTACTCAGGGTCTCAGGCCTGGTTGCTAGCCACCTTGGCCAAATGTCTGTCATCCATTTAACTCTCTCCCTGCCATCCCCTCTCCTCTCTGGCTGCCAGGCCTTCTCTCTGGCTTTCCTTTTGTTCCTTTTACAGGCTTTCCCCTTGAGCTGTGATATAGGTGGAATTCAGGGACTGGGACCTGTCAGAAAAGGTTCCTGCTGCAGAGCCACATCCCCAGATCCCTACAAGGGGTCTTAAAGCTCCCCACCCATCATCATCCTATGCAAGGTGGTTGTGTGTACCCAGCAAGGCAGTGTGCTGGCTCCAGGTGAATTTCAGTAGAAGCAGCAAGAGCAGGGTTTGGACTCAGGGGTGCTCAAAGAGGCCAGGCAGGACCTAGGTACCATGGAGGCCAGGTTTCACGGTCCCAGCCTCCCCTGACAAGCCTCCTTTGTGTACACAGGACAGACATTGCGGCCACATACTCCTTCCTGTGTTCTCCTGCCTAGCTCACTCTGCCTTAAACCCAGGGAGACCTCCCAGTTTCAAAGGTCAAAAATCCCCTTGTCCTGCACTCTCCTGTCCAGACACCATCTGAACAGGAAGAATACTCAGAGAAGGCTCTGAAGTAAACACAGGGCACAATCTGGAGTCCAAAAATTCCAGTGTGTGTGTGTGTGTGTGTGTGTGTGTGTGTGTGTGTGTGTGTGTGTGTTTTGGGTGTTTGTGTGTGCCTGGGATTATTGTGGCCTAGTCCCGTTTGGGTCCATAAGAGGTGGCTGAGAGGCACAGTATGTAAGAGTTATGGTGGTCAGGTCCAGGTTGAGCGGGAAGGACAGGTTGGCATGTAGGGAAGCCTTATAGGGCTCCATCCTTCAGCTCCAGCTCTGGTGAGCACAAGGTTTGGAGTGGTGCATTCTGTGTGTGGTTTGGGGTGCAGGGCCGTGCCGGGTCATGGTCGATGAGAGCATTGTGTTGGAACCATGAGAACGGTGGCAGGACAGTCCTTTGGAGTGGCCTGCCAGGCATGTCTAGGAAGTCAGGGCCCCCAACCCAACCCAAGTACCAAGAAGCTCCCTTTTTAGCCTCAGCAAATGTCTCCAGGACGCTTTGTAGAGAGGGAGATTTGGAAGAGCATAGACAGGCTTGTCTCCAGGTGCCAGGGAGAGTGCTCCATCATGGAAGATGTCAGCAGTATGGAGGTGGGCATCTGGAGACTTTCAGTGCTCATGGAAGGAAGGCTTCCTGTTGGGGAGTGCAAAGCATTTCCCAACTGAACATGACCTAGCTAACGTAGATACCAGGGATGGGACTGTACATAGGAGTGAGGGATCGAGGGAAACAGAGATAGAGGTGGAGGTGGAGGTAGTGGAGGATAGATAAATGAGAGATACAGAAAGTAAGATGAGAGCAAATGAGAATGTGCCTGTGGGATGTTGGGTGTTCTCTAGATTGTTCGTGTTTTTCATGCAGGCTGGTGGGCAGAGCTCCTCTGTGTACGGACACATTTTCTATTCCATGGGTCTGGGCCCCTGGAGGGAAATTTGTATGACGATACCTGGAAAGTTGTGGGAAGTCACTGAGGAAAGACAAGCGTGGTTGTGTGCTGGAGGCATCCTGGTGTTGAGTGAGAATTGCTTCTTGTCCCTCAGGTTCTATGTTGCCTGTCCTCAGTCCACTTGAATCTGTTGAGAGAGCTGAGTCCTGTGTGTGCCTAGGCCCTGCCACAGGTAGGTGGGTGTCCACAGAGGATACAGAGAGTTCCGTGCCTGACGGGGTCTTGGAGATGTTAGAGAACGGAAAAAGAGAAGTTTCCTGAGTGGTGCCTGGTAGTTGGTGTAGGGTAGGGTCGGGAGTGGGAGGTTAGGGGTGGGAGGCAGAGGACTGTGCAGAGGAGAGGGATTGTGACAGAGCTGGAGGTAGGTCAGAATGGTTGCCTGGTGCTGCCTAGGAGACGGTTAAGGTGGGGGCCGGGGCCCAGGGTTTGGTGACAAGAGGGCAGGTGGGTGCAATGTTTCTTCTTTTGATGTGTCCTTGTCTCCTCCTCAGGGACCTGGTCGGCCTGCCTGTTGAGGCGAGGTTGTGGATGTCCCCGGACCCTAGTGCTCCCTGCTTCGGATGATGTAGGGCAGATCCATCTGAATGCACTTCACCACGGAGGCCAAGGTTTTGGAAGGAAGCCCTTCTCCTCTCCCATCTCAAGATTAGACCATGGGACGCTAGAATAGGGGACTCAGGCTGCCGACCCTGGAGTCCTGACCAGTATACACAGTTGTCTGCCCTTATCCCTTGTGTCCACCTGGGAGCGGCCTTCTGCCAGGTGGGAACCCGGTGCTTGACCTAGGGTCCCATTGAGTTGGGTGGTCTCCTCCCTTGTTTTCACACCTCCCTGTGTGCTCTCGGTTGTGGGACACCACCACCCCACCTCTCTAGCATGTCTGGGGTTGCCCCAGCCAGCAGGGTGTCAACAGGTGTGATCCACCTGCAGGAGAGAATGAAAGGGAAATGAAAGGGATGGGGGAGACACGAAAGAAGACAACAAGACAGTGTGTTCTGATCAAGCTGTAAGTATTATTCTCCTCAGCAAGGCTTATATAGCATGGGAGAGGGAGGGGGCAGGTAGGAGGGAAGGGGTGCACGATGTGCCATTCGTGCAGGTGAAGGGGGACATGCAAGTCGTGAGGGTGTTGTGCTAGGTGGTAAGGTCACTGGTCAGGGCCCATTGTTCTGTTGCTATGCTACCTGACCTGCCTGAGCTGTTCTTTATCTTTGGGGGCATCTGGTTGAGGGCAGGGGCTTGTTCTCTGGCCCAGCTAGTACTTTTCCATGGTCCATGTTTGGTCGCTGATATCTCCCCCTTCTCTGTGTATAGCAAAACAAAGAAAGGAGGCCCAAATGTTTTTGCCGTGACAGGAGAGGGGTGACAGAGGCTCTCTCCCTGATAAGTTCCATTGTTAACTGTCAGTCCATGTAGGCATCCCCACGTGCCCTGACGGATGCTGGAACGATGCAGTTTTTTACAGGGGGCGGGTTTGAATTCGGGAGGAAAGAGTATAGGGTCTGCATAACCGCCATGCAATAAAGCATGTCATCCAAGGCACCCAAGATGGTGGAGCACTTTGGTCTCCCTGCCTTCTGCATTCCCAGCTGCACCCTCAATCCCCTATGCAGTGGGCTCCAGCTCCCAGGCACAGGTGCATCCTCCCCTGGGCAGAGGGGCCTGTGCTGATATGGAGTCTTTATCTGGTTCATCGAGACCACGATCATGGAGATCGAGGCGATGGGAATGAACCTGAATTTGTTTTGCCTGAAGTTCGGCCAGCTGACCGCGCACAAATCGAGTTAGTCAAGAGAAGTTTCAAGGGCCGAATGTCAAGAGAAGAATGAGGCCAACCAAGGGTCCCAGAAGGGAAGGCAGGAGGGTGGTTGGCCAGGGAGATGCAGAGAACCAATTTTGGAACCAGCCTAGCTCTTGATCTCTTTCTTTTCTGCGCTTCTCTAAGCCTTCCCGGACCTTGGCCATGCTATCCCTTGCTACTCCTGTATGATCAGTATAAAATCAGCACTCTTCCTTAAGAGCGGCACACAGAGACCTCCTTGCTGTAAAAAGAGGAGGTTGAGCCCTCGGCGGTTTTGGAGGACCACCTCTGAAAGGGAGGTGAGGGAGGATTCAAGGGCGGAAATGCCTCGCTCAAGCTGCCCTATATCTTCATCTATGGAAATTCTAAGCTCTGAATAATGTTGATTAGATAAAACCAGGGAAGCTATGCCAGTACCGGCCCCTGCAGCCCCGGCCCCCAGGAGGACAGCCAGAGTGACTGCAGTCACGGGTTGGGGCATCCTACGCTTTCCTCCCTCCAATAAATTTTGCAATTGTGGGCAGTCTGACCCCACCCCCAGAGAAGAAAAAGAAAATTTGTAAGTGGGAGATATAAACTGTAGTCAGGTTGTATTCCTCCCAGTCCTTCTTGACTTGTGGGCATTGGCAAATGTTGATCACGTGCCATCACTGCCGGCATGATCTCCTGAAGCTTATGAGAACCTTCTTAATAGACAAAATCTTAGACATGTTAGCAATGTAACAGTGGTGAACTTTATCAGAGCAAAATTATGAGTCCTTGGAGCCTCAACAAAACATCAGGATAGCCAGAGAATGAAATCTGAAATGTGTCATTTACATATCTCCCAAGTCTCATATATATTTTGACAAAAATTAATAAAATACATTTAGAACAGAATTATTAGTTCTAATCATCTTTCTATAAGTTTTGATGAACAGTTCATCAAAAGGATCTGGAATTGTATCAATTTATTCATATTCAAGGCTCAGTATTTAAGAATCTAGAGGTAAATAACAGCCTGTATTTAGACTGGCAGCTTTAGAACGCCTTTGTCCTGCAGCTGCCAATATATGGTGTGACCAGGCGATCCAGGATTCATAAAGGCGGGTCAATGTCCTATAAAGACATGTATCTTCCTCCTGACATTATGAAAACAGCAGGACCTTGTTAAATACCAGTGAGGAGATCATAGAGGCTTAGGTGTAACTTTGTGGCTTGACCTGGTGGTGATGAGGAATACCTGTAGTGAGGGATATGAAAAATAAGTACCAATTCTTAAGAACTCTTGAAGTATATGTAAGGCTGTTGTCTATATATGGGCTCAAGGCATTCCTAAAATTAAAAAGCAGTGAAAGAAATGGTGTATAACTTCTTATTTCATAACCATAAATCATAAGGACGTAAGCCTCGTGGGTGATCTTCTATAGGGAGAGAATTTATAATTGTTGGACAGACATATGAAAAGGTGCCAGTATGTCCTGTAGAGCTATCTGCCATTCTATAGACTCACAAGTTTCATAGTTTGATATGAATATAATATCATCTGTACAATAAATGTATTGTAAGATATATGTATATACATATACATGTATACAAACATATAGGTTGGGGGACTGTGAGGAAGCTATAATTGACAGTTCTGATAGTTAATCTGCATATATAATGAGGAACTTTGTTCAATGAATGAGTCCTGGATAGACAGAACTCGCATTTTCTGCTCTGTATGTCAACTTTGGCCTCCATCATGGTAGGGTGAGTAGGCAAATTAAAAGCTAAATCCTGACAATCTTTAGGTTGAGGAGGATGGTAAAGAAACAATCTTGTATATCTATGACGATTTTTTTTTGATTTTTGGGGATGGCCCTGGGAGATGGCAAGACAAGCTGTGAGACTTTCCTTGGCTTTAATAAATTTTATTTAATTTTTAAAGGATCTGTAACAGTTTATAAGCCTGATTTTCCTAAATAAAAAGATATTGGGGTGATTTAAGGGCTGGTGGGGGACTTCATATGCCCAATATTTAAGTTTTTCCTCCACCAGACAGGTAGCAATTATAATTTTTTCAGCATTTAAAAGCCATTGTTTGATCCAGATAGGAGCGTTAGATTTTCCTGACCTTCTGGCTACATTATTAGCTTGACCTAGGCCTGTAAGAGACGAAGAAGTAATAATCGTCTTAAGTACTTGGCCAATCTTTTTCAGAAATATAAGAAACAGCTATGTTTATGTCTAGCAAGCCAATTATCCCTGTATTTTAAGTGTTTAGTTGTTTGGAATATTTAATTTCCTGAACCCAGAAGGCCATATAGCTAGAATCTACACCAGCAGCTCCCTTAGGCTCTGCCTTGTGTGAATCTGAATTGTACAATGATCTTAATCTCTCCAGTAAAGACAGAATCGTACATCCCTAGGGCAACCTTGTACAGCCGAGGAGCTACGGCATATAATTAGCCCCAGTGTCCCTTCTGAGGCGGTCCATAGACTTTTGCATTAAGGTATACATAAGTTTATTTTTAAAGCCTATATATCTATCTCAGACCTCAATATCTATCCATAGATCTAACTTAGGCATACATCCTCAGTATCTCTGGGTTATTTACTGAGATTTATGGATCATTTATAACATATCTAGATGTTCATATGTTATATTTCTCTGTTCCAATGACTTGCATTACACATACAATAAACTATTTCTTAATGTTCTTAAACATTCTTTATATCTAATCATTCATATCCTTATAAAATCTTTACTTACATCTGAAAGCATTTTTGTATTTAATTCATCAGGAGATATAGGTGATTGATTACTGAGAGCAGCCAATGTGGTGAATTCCTTTAAACAAAGGAACAGTCAAAGTTTATTTTGAAATCTGTTTGGCAAGAATTTGGATAGCAAGGCAAATTACCTTTTAGGCCTGGTAAATGGGAATATAATCCAAATGATCTCAAAGCATAGTTTGGACAAAATCCTGGCAATAAGGGGTATGGCAGTTTTGTCCAAAACTTAAACATTTTAAATGCTAGGGGGCTAAGTAATGAATTGATTATATGAAATTTAGCATACTTAGCATGTATATAAATATGATTTTGTATACATCAGAGAATTTGATCATAAAATGATCAAGCTTTAATTTGCATCCTAATAATTATCTCTAATAACTTATAGCTTAAGTACAACTTATCCTTAACAGTTTACAGTTTAGGTTGGCGAATCAGTCAATAAGTTTTACTTCTTAATTATCTTTAACTAAAGTAAACTTATTTACCAACTTATAAGTTAGTTGTCTTTGTAAACTTAGAACTTAGGTTTTATATTAAAACAGTGTAGCTAGAGTTTTCCTGCCTGGCCCACAATCAGGACAAATCTCTCTCACCTGCCAGTCCCACAGCCGCTCAGACCCGACCAAGTAAACACAGAGACTTATATTGGTTACAAACTGTATGGCCGTGGCAGGCTTCTTGCTAACTGTTCTTACAGCTTAAATTAATCCTTTTTTTTTTTTTGCTTTTTCGAGACAGGGTTTCTCTGTGTAGCTTTGCGCCTTTCCTGGAACTCGCTTTGGAGACCAGGCTGGCCTCGAACTCACAGAGATCCTCCTGGCTCTGCCTCCCGAGTGCTGGGATTAAAGGCGTGCCCCACCACCGCCCGGCAAATTAATCCATTTCTATAAAGCTATACCTTGCCACGTGGCTCGTGGCTTACCGGCATCTTCACATGCTGTTTGTCATCCTGGTGGCTGGCAGTGTCTCTGACTCAGCCTTCCACTTCCCAGCTTTATTCTCCTCCTTGTCCCGCCTATACTTCCTGCCTAGCCACTGGCCAATCAGTGTTTTATTTATTGACCAATCAGAGCAACACATTTGCCATACAGAACATCCCACAGCAAAACAGAGGAGGATTTTCTTTTCTTCTCTCTCTCTCTCTCTCTCTCTCTCTCTCTCTCTCTCTCTCTCTCTCTCTCTCTCTCTCTCTCTCTTTTTGTAGAAGCTGCAGCCGGTTTGTCCAGTCTGTATCAAGCCAGACAGCCACCGGGAATGGCAAGGTGAGGAGAAGGGCGGAAGTGAGCTGAGATGCAGATAGCAGATAGTTAGGTTCAGAGAGAAGAAGGCAGATGTTTAGGATTCCAACCCCCAAACGTCTTTGGGGGTCAGATGAATCCATATAGGTTGTAGCAGGGCGTCCCCTAAACAGGACTTGTTTTTTTGAAATGGGTCAACTGAAGTTCTTGTACTTGGCCAAGATTTTTGTAAATTACCAAGAACTTAAAAGTCAACCCAAAAAGAGGAAAGAGAGAGAAAAGGACACTTTTTTAGGAGAGCTGGGAGTTGCCATTAGTTTTTAAATCAGCACTGGCTGTGAGGCTTGTGTTAATTTAAATGAAGGCTGCTGGAGCAGAGCTCCTTGTTAGCTGCAGGGCAAATTTAGGGCTCAAGTTAGCCCTTAGATTCCAATAGTTTTAGCAAAAAAGACTGTCTGTAGCAGGACGCTGCTGCTACTATGGAGAACATAGGGAACTTCATTAGCTCTAGTTTACACTCTCAGGAGGTCTGGTAGTGTGATAATATTGTGTTACCTCTTTGTAAGACCCTGAATGAAGTAAGGGCAGGTTTCTCCCTAAAAGGGAGGGGTTAGAATCTCTGCCGCTTATCATAGTCTGACGGTAAATGAATTTCATAAGGTTGGCAGCTTTTAGGGGTCTCTTAAATCTTTTTTTTATAAACCTTTAGGATATCATTAACATCAATCGTCCCTTCTTGGGGAAACCAGGGACAACAGTCGTCTAAGTGACTAAAGAATTTGTTGAGGTCTTTTTTTTGCGAACCCTTATCCCTCGTGTCTTGAGGGCCTCTTTAATGCCCTTAAGGAAAAGGTCATGGGAAGAACTTCCCCATCCCATGGTTAAGCCTAAGTTTAGACTAACCTCGTCCTTCCTGCTCTCCTCCGGATCGTCAAGAAAGGGCGTCGAGTCGGGCGGTCTCAACGGACGATCAGCAAAAATATCTCCACCAGATGTCTGGACTTTCCTGGAGAAGGACGTTCAACTCCCAACGAGGTGAGGGTCGAGCCACCACGTTGGGCGCCAGTTGCCCTGGCCAGCGGGGTGTCAACGGGGGCGACCCACCTGCGGGAGAGAATGAAAGGGAAATGAAAGGGATGGGGGAGACATGAAAGAAGACAGCAAGACAGTGTGTTCTGATCAAGCTGCAAATTTTATTCTTCTCAGCAAGGCTTATATAGCATGGGAGGGGGAGGGGGCAGGAAGGAGGGAAGGGGTGCACGATGTGCCATTCGTGCAGGTGAAGGGGGACGTGCAAGTCGTGAGGGTGTTGTGCTAGGTGGTAAGGTCACTGGTCAGGGCCCATTGTTCTTTGCTATGCTACCTGACCTGCCTGACCTGTTCTTTATCTTTGGGGTCATCTGGTTTAGGGCAAGGGCTTGTTCTCTGGCCTAGCTAGTACTTTTCCATGGTCCATGTTTGGTCTCTGACACAGGGTCATCCTGGGAGGCCCCTCTTGGCTGGCCACCTTGACCTGGAAGCTTGGGTCAGCATACCTAAGGCCATTCTGGCAGCTGTACTGGTCACCCTGGTGGATGGAGTCTTGTATACTGCTGCTGGATCTCTGAAGCATGCTGTGTGTGTGTGTGTGTGTGTGTGTGTGTGTGTGTGTGTGTGTGTGTGTCTGTGTGTGTGTGTGTGTGTGTGTCTGTGTTTGTATGTGTGTGTGTATCTGTGTGTGTGTGCACACATGTGAAGGACCTCATGTGGAGGTTCAAGGACAACTTTCCAGAGTCAGTTCTTTCCTTGCACCATGGGACTTGGCGCTTACACTATGGTTGTTGGGCTAGCATAGCAAACTCCTTTACTTGCTAAGCTTTTTGTTGCCTTGTATTTCTTCATTTTTGTCAGTGTTATGCTTTGTAGGGGTCAGGGGTTTTCAAAAGGGGACATACAGGTCAGTGATCATTTCTGAATTTAGTAATATTTTAAACGTCCATCCCAAAGGTAAATAACTTAGCTTCCGTGGTGTAGGAGACAGTTAAAAATACGTATGGAATAAAAGACTCCAATTTTCAGTCAAGGGTCAAGTCTCCTTTAGACTAATTTTTATGCAGTGTTATTCTAAGTAACGTTTCCTCTGGGAGCATGTTAGAATTCTCTACTGCAGACTTACCCAGGAGTTTACATTTGAACATCATTCTTCAGGGATTCATGTACATACTCAGTATTAAAGTACTGATATCTAATTGTTATAGAATGATAGTTGCTGAGGTCATTTAATGGAGAGGAGGCGTACCATAATTGTGACTTTCATTGTGGCTGATCATCTCTTAAAGGAGAAAAACTGCTAAACCTGACTTGTAAACCCAAATACCATTATTTAGAATAATTGTTACTGGTGATAGAAGGCACCATAAGTTAGTATAAATTCTTTTCGTTTTTGTTTATACAGAAAATATTTATACAAAGATCAAGATCGTTATCCATAAAAAGTTCACATTTTAAGTGTAAGTTGATCATTAGATCGTTTCCTAGGATCCATGTAAGGGTGATGGGAAGTTTGGGGAAGAGTTTCTGTGTAAAAACCACAAGCTTAGGGCTGGTGGTGGGACTTGAGGGCCTATGAGGTTAGGGGGCTCTGGGAACTGCAGAGAGTAGGAAGAGAATGAATGTGAGGTCCAAGGGAGCTGATGGTTGGGATGCTTGGCCCATTGCAACTGGGCAACTTACTCCATGAACTGGCCAAGAACGATGGTCCTCCTAAACCTTACCTAAGCTGGTGTATAAGGAAAAGACTTCATACAGAGAGGTAAAGAGGAGCCAGGGAGTCTAGGGATGACTTTGTCCTGCCACTAAAAGGTACAGGTGGGAGAATAATAGACTTCTGCCTCCATCCATAGAGCAGTAATAGACAATGCCTGCCAAGGCTGGGCGTTAGGCTCCTAGAACAGAGAGTTCTACAATGCTTCCTAAGGGGACTACCTTTATTCTGAAGCAAGAATGAGAAGACGCAAATGCAAGGACCCTATTAAAATGTAGATCTTGCTGGTAAGCAATCAAGAGAAGAGTAGCCACAAGAGTGCTGGTAGCAAGTGAAAACAATGGATAGTTCCTCCTTACAAACAAGAGCACCAAGCAGCTGAGAAAACCCCTCTTGATGTTAGGAGAAACCCTCAAAGACCGTCCCTGCCTTAGAAATCATCTGATGGAATTTCACTCTGGGGCTCCTGGTTTCAGAGTCAGCACTCAGGCCATGACAGAGAAGACTAGGTAGAACGGTATGGTGGGAGAAGATGTGACAGACGTGTTCCGGTCTTATCATATCAGAAAGCAGAAAGGGGACCAGAATCTGCGTAGGCTCTGTCCTTCAAAACCCACCCCTAGTGATCCATATCCACCAGCTGGGAGACCCTGTCTTCCAAATATTCCCTGGCCTCCCAAAATAGCAGTACTATATGGGAACCAAGTTTTTAAACATATGAGCCTGTCGGAAGCAACTTACATCCAAGTCACAGCATTCACATTTATTTATATCAGTGTGGATGCATACATGTTTATTCTATAATTTGTGTTATCATTCAATATGTCTGTGTTCATTTTATTGTGTATATTGCTGCAAGTTGATAGAGACCTTTTTTTCTTCCTTTGGCATACCTCCATCCTTGTAGGTGTGTGTGTTGGGGGATCAATACTTCGGAGAATGGTATGTCAATGTTTGGCATGGTAAGGGGTTGTCACACCATTTCTAAAGTGGCATTCTTATTTTGCATCTCTATTAGAAATGGATGTGTGTCCCTGTTGCTCTGTGTCTTAACAAGCAACTGATACAATTTTTTAAAAAAGATGACCATTTCTTTTCATTTTTGTGTCCTAGTACTGGAATTCAAGACCAGACGCTTGTATATGCAAGATATACTGTCTGAGTTTTGGTTTTGTTTGTCAAGTTGGAAAGAAGGAACATTTGTTTAAGAACTGACTTTATTAGATAGCCTTTGGGCATGTGTGTGGGACATCTTGACTGCTGATTGATAGAGGAAAGGTCTAGCCCACTGTGAGTGGTCCCTTGCCTAGGTAGGTGGCCATAGGTTATATAAGAAAGGTAGCATAGTAAGGCAGAGCAGAAGCCAGTAAGCAACATTCATTCATGATCTCTGCTTCAGATTCTGCCTCCAGATTTCTGTCCTCAAATTCCTGCCTTGACTTCCCTCCACAGTGGACTGTCACCTGTAAGCCAAAGAAACCCTTTCCCAGAATTGTTTTGGTCTGTGCTTTGTCACAGCAGTAGAGAAACAAGCTACCACACTGGGAACAGTTTTGCCACTGATCTCCATGCCCTGCATTGGCATTTTGTTTTCTTGTTATACATTTTATTCTTTAAGAGAATATTTAAATTTATATTTTGATCATGATTTCCCCAACCCACAAGTCCTTCCAAATCCTCTGCCCTTCCCTACCCATCCAAATTCAAGTTCTTTCTCCAAACAAACAAACAAACAAATAAATAAATAAACAAAAACCAATTCTTAGAAAGTATGTAGTTATAGTTGGTTTCAATTTTATGGCTTTATTTTGAGTAGATATTAATTTTAGATTGCCACTTTTTCTAACATTTATGCTGTATTTTATCATCATTATTTCCACAAGTATCTTATTTTTAAACTTTTGTTTCAGTAGAGCTAAAGCTTACCAGAAATTTGCTCTTATTTATAAATCCCTTTAATTTGTTAAATGAATCCTCTTGACGTACTTTAAGAAGGAATTACTTTTTAATGAGAGACAGAAAGTGAGTGGATCAGGATGGGAGGAAGATTGGGAGAAAAATGGGAGAAGTAGAGGGAGGGGAAATCTTAATCAGGATATATTATATGAAAAAAATGGTTTCAATAAAATAAAGGAAGGAAAAAAAGAAAAAAAAGACAACACACACAGATGGGCTGAAACACTGAAGAGGCAATGTTCCTAAAATGAATCCTAATCACTTTAACGTCTGTCTCCAGTACTGTATGGATTCTTAAAAATGGATTGTAGTTGTAAGTTGGCCTTTCCCAGTGGATCCTTCGGCATTTAACTACTTCAGAAAAGAAAACAGAGGTACCTGTCTGAAACTGAAGGTCCCTTAGGAAGCTTGAGTTCAAAGTGATTGCTACTGTGATGGCGCTGACATATGGAACTGCAGATAGGGAAACTTCCCTCGCTCCTCCCTTCCTGCTCTTGCCCCCTCACCTGGCCCTTCTGTCCTCATGATGTATCCCAGAATGTTACAGAGCAGCAAGGCAGCCCTACAGCAGCACCGGATTGGGAGGTCAAGTCTCCTATCCTCCAAGTCTATGTGTCAAATAAGCTTCTGCTCAAGTAGGTTTCTGTGTGTCTGTTTGTTCTTTGGGGACGCTTTCCCCTTTGTTTGTTGGTCCTATTCTGATGTGTTAGTTGTTGTTTTAGTTTATCTTATTATCCCTTAGACGTGTTTGTTTTCTAATGAGAGACAAGAAGGGGGTGGATTGGATGAGAGAGAGGTGGGAAGAAACTGGGAGGATTATGTAGACGAATTTCTAAGTGGTCTTATTAAATAAAGAACATGGAGCCAAATACAGGGGTGAAAGCCTTAGAGATCAGGTAAATAGTGAGAGTCACCAACCACCTTACCTCACCAGATCTGTAGCTTCCAAAATGCCATGACTTCCTGTCTACCCAAGCTTTTATTGCCTTGCTGTTCTGCCCTCTCATTGACTCAGCCCAGCTAGCTCACTTCCTTGTTACTGCCTATCTGTACAGACCTCCAGGGTCTCTATGGTTGGTACTGGGATTAAAGACCTGTGCCACCACACTTGGCTCTGTTCCCTAGCGTGACCTTGAACACACAGAGACCCTGCCTGCCAAGTGATCAGGTTAAGGGCCTGTGCTACCACTGCCTGATTTTTGTGTTTTCTTAAAATGGCTTGTTATTTCCTGTGATCTCCAGGCAAACTTTATTTGTTAGCATACAAAAAAAAAATCACCACTTTTCAGCACAAATAAAATATCACTACAGAATTAGAGGGAGGAGAAACCTTAATCAGGATATATTATGTGAGAAAAAGATCCAATTTCAATAAATGGGAAATATATACATATATTTATGGGGAAAAAGAAGGATATTCTTTGGATTCATGTATAACTAAAAATATTTGACTTTCTGTTTAAGCAACACTTGCAACATATTGTCTTTTAAAGATTGCCTTGTTCATTAATGATTAGTGCTTCTAGACGAAGATTTGAGGTCAATATGATCTCTTTCTAAGTGTATGATTTTGGTCGGTTTCAACATCTATCCTTTTGTGCCTTGTAAGTCAATACATTTATTATTCAGTATTATTTTTCATAGCGTGCCATGTGTTTCTTGCTTTCCTTCTCTTTAGAAATTCTCTCTTCACTATTTCATAATTTCAGCTACCCTCTGATATTTATTAAACTTAGGAAGTCTTCACTAGATGTGTTGCATACTCTAGACTTGTTATGGACAAGGCGAAGATAGCAATCTATTTGCCCTTTTGTCTATGCTTGTTCTCTGGAGCCAGAGATATCTATATATCTTCTCTTGTTGCAGGATATTCGATCACACTGTGACATTCTTAGACTATGTTAATAATGTTAACGTTGAATGAGGGGTGGAACCAGTGGCTAACTGACTGGAATTAGCCATAGAGAAGCCAGGAATACAGATAGGGAAGTTGGACAGGAAGGAGGAGGGAGGGACTTGGAATTCAAGAGCTCTCTTTGACCTGGGACATGTGGATAGAAGGTGTGCTGGCTGGGTCTCCGGTAAGAAAGGGAAGGTCAGCTGGTCGCTCCTCCTGTGCTTCTTTGATCCATAAGCTTTTGACCCAATATCTGATCCTCGAGTTTTCATTGGTAATGGACCCATTTAGCAAAACACAACATTCACTTATCATTTCAAGTTTTTTTGTGCTTAGGGTAATAACATTTTTTATAATCATTTATTCATTCAACAAAATATCATGAGTACTCACTATGTGTTCTACTATCTTTAAAATGTTGAGGTTCTTTAAATCATCTTAATTTTCCACAAAGTATATACTTTTCCCTATTTACCTGGTCTTTACTGGTATGTTTAAACATTTTGTTTTCATTAAGCTATATTTAACTACATTTTATGTTTCATATCTAATAATTCTAATGTATAATGATCCACTAGCCGAAATTTTCTGTTGTCTTTTTCAGTCTTGTTTCCTAAATTAGGTAAGAGTTTTTGTATCTATAACATGATCATTTCTCAGAAAAAATTCAATGGAATGTTTGAGGGCTGAGAGAAAGGACATTCCTCTAAAAGATTTTAGTTTTCTTCTGTGAGTCTGGAATCGATATGAATTAAATTCTTGGTTTGGGGTTTTGTGGCACAATTCAGTTAGTGTGAATTAGACTTACTCATATGTACCTCTTTGTGGTTATGAATTCTCTGAGGATTTATCTTTGTACTCACGAACAAGGTTGATACTAGCAAGTTTACCTGTAGTTCTCCGGCTTCTCTCTTGGGGTTGGATTGTCCATGAGGGTTTAATTCTTAGTTTGCCTTATGCTGGAGTAAATTTTCCTGTCATAGTCTTAAGGGGGATCTTCGGTTGGGCTTTTAAGCCCTTGAATTTCCCCATGATTCTGAGAGTTAACTCAATCTCACCCAATTCTCTTGAAAGCAAGTCAATTGAAGTTCTCAGAGATTTGACCATCATTCATTGCTTAGCCTAAATATTCTTTTAATTGTTTTGTCAGTAAGCAGGTATCTGTGGAGACTTAAGGCTATTTTTTAGTATTTGTATGTTTTGCATTTGAAGGTTTATCCAGGTCATCTAATTTTCTATCAAGACCATTGTTCTTTTTTAATCCATCAGGGCACTGTTGGTTTTAGACTGCATCACCATAAGATTCACCTTGTTTGAAGCCTCACTCTGAAATATCCATCCTTAATATTTTCATCAAGAAAGATCTCATTAAAGGGAGATTGATTTAACTCATCCTGTTCTCTGACAAGAGTAATTCAATAGACACAAGTACATTAATAAGTTTTGATTTATTGGCTAAATATCAAATTACCTGACATTGTTATTCAGCAAACAGGAGTATCATAAACTCATATCAGTAAAAGTTTTTATAGACTCAAAAGAAGACAAATATCGGATTTCAGAAGCTTTCTGTTTGTAGCGACGCCCTCATTACTACCCGTTCACCATGTCCGAGTGAGGGGCTGAGGATTAAAAAGAGAGACAAGACAGTGGGTCATTCCTCTCAGTAGAATGCCCCCTATTGAAGGAGGGAGGAGGCCTTAAATACAGACTTACAGTACAGTAGAAGAACCTGGGAGGGTAAAAGTAGGCTACAGGAGTTTTACATTCTAGCATTCCACCAATATGCAGGATACGCACACAAGCAACCTTCGGTAAGCTGTTTAGGAGGAATGAAACCGGAAAGGAATTAGCATAGGGAGGACATCTGATCAAGGTCAGCGAGCAAGGCAACAGCTCCCCAAAAACGGGGGCCAGGGCCCAACATCTGGTTACTGTGTTCCAAATTAATTCCTGCCTTTTCTAGGTAAAATGAAACAAACAAAAAAAAAAAAACCAAAACACCACCTATAAAAAACCCTAACCCAAAACAAAACAAAAAATTAGGTCAATGTTGGAACAAACAATCAGTCTGAATTCTAATCAATGAAAGTATCTGAACTCAACTCTGAACTCTGGATTCCTATTCCGTAGTTTATACTGCTTTGCATCTGAGGCAGTCTGTGGGAATTGGTTCTTCCGCCATATGGGTCCCAGGGATTGAACTCAGGTCATGAGGCTTGGCAGCAGGTGCCGTGACCTGCTTAATAATCATTCCGGACCAGAAGGTGATTATTTCCTGCATAGAGATTTAAAATCCCATAAAGAACCTTGGGTTGTGTTGATTCCGGTCAAAAGAATCCTGTGTAACAGTGATGATGCTGTTGCTGGGTTCTATGCTTTTTGCAGAATGTGTATAAATATATCTATAATTGTTTCTCATAACACACCTAGAAAATATATTAGATTACTCATGTTAATCACGAAGTCATCAAAACAGTAAGGCTGTGGCCAGGTTCCTATGTCTCCAACTATTAGCTTCACACAATGCTATGGCAGCTCCATAAGTGAGCAGTGACAATGTTTTATGCAAAAGAGAGCTGCCTTTTTGCATCTCCTGACACAGGATGGATGATACCATTACCTCATTGCAGTTGTCAGCATGTCATATGCACATTTATGTGTGTGTGTGTGTGTGTGTGTGTGTGTGTGTGTGTGTGTGTGTGTGTGTGTGTTCGTTCATATTCATGTATATGTGTGCGGCAGAGTGTTGAATGTGTACCTGTATGTGTGTGGAGGCCAGAGATGTATGTTGGGTGTCTTTCTCAATTTGTTACTTTTCTTTTTCTTTTCTTTATGTATGTATTTATGTACTTATTTATTTATTTATTTAGTTTTTTGTTCTTTGGTTTTTTGAGACAGGGTTTCTCTGTGTAGCTTTGGACCATTTCCTGGAACTCACTCTGTAGACAAGGCTGGCGTCGAATTCACAGAGATCCTCTTGCCCTTGCCTCCCAAGTACTGGGAGTAAAGGCATGCACCACTACCGCCCAGCTAGTTGGGAGATGGTTTTCTTACTGTTGGGTGTTACTGCTTATAATTTTACACAGGATGACTTTTTTTCAGTTACAGTGTTTCTAAATATATTCTCTCAGGCTCCTCCCCACCTTAGACAGTCATGTGCAAGTGCCTTCACAGATATACTGAGAGGTGTGTTTCTCGAATCTCTCAGGTGATTCTAAATCATTCTGAATTTTACTGACAGTATTAGGAAAGAGTCTGGGTTAATAGATATACATGGGTTCTGTGCAACTCTGTTCCTCTAGATAGTACTGTTCCAGGGAAGAGGAATCTGATATCAAATAGTTTAACTTAAAATTTAAAAATTCAGTAATTCTATGTTCAATGAATTCAAAACTTTTTGACAGAGGAATTGGCACAGCCTTCGTTATAGTGTGTTTTGACTCTCATATAGCATCCAGCATTTTTCAGTTTTAATTGACTTAAGAACCAGTTTTTTAGACCATAGTTATATTTATCTCATAATACAATATTTTAGAGACAGCAAAGGGCTTTCACCTAAAAATCAAATTAACACTAATGCTGAAACAACGTCACCATGTCTTTGGTACATGGGGGCTTAGCTTTGCTTCCAATCACCTGAACCAAACATCTGTGATACCAACTGATTGTCAGTGAGGAATACCTTATATGGTGATATTTTATTTGTATTAAAATGTTATTTGTATGTTGCCGGGCGGTGGTGGCACACGCCTTTAATCCCAGCACTCGGGAGGCAGAGCCAGGTGGATCTCTGTGAGTTCAAGGCCAGCCTGGTCTCCAAAGCGAGTTCCAGGAAAGGCGCAAAGCTACACAGAGAAACCCTATCTCGAAAAAGAAAAAAAAATGTTATTTGTATGTTAATAAATAAAGTTGCTCGGGGGTCAGAGCTATTAGCAAGCCATAGGAAAGCAGGGCAGTGGTGGTATACACTTCTAATCCCAGCACTTGGTAGGCAGAGCTGGGTAAGTCTCTGTGTGTTCAGGGATACAGCCAGTATTGGATACACATGCCTTTAATCTCAATACCAATCATGGAAAACCTGGAGGCCTATATAGACAGGCCGTGAGGAGGCGGTCATGTGGTTGGGTTTACACCCAATGAGAAGGCAGGACAGGAACTCTATATAAAGACTTTAACACAGGGGTAGCTCTGATTCGGAGAGGTAGGACCACCGCAGGAGGAAGGGTAAGGTTTTAGCTCTTAGCTCTGACCTCTTGGCTTTCTTTGCATTGGTTCTGTGTTTCTTATTTAATATGATGGTTGGTTACATCTACAACCTTATCTATTCAGAGTCCTCAAGGACAAAAACATACTGAGAAAGAAGATGACAGCCAGTACATGAGAACCCCAGTGGTAGAGCACTTGCCTAGTATGTACAAGAACCTAGCTTCCATCGCCAGCAGAGCCGACACAAAATATCGTTTGTAGTGGAATTGATCTTCCTGCTTCCTCAAGGACTACCCTGACAACTATTTAGAGTATTGGGGGTAAACAAAGAGATAATTTGTCCTCTGCTCATTTCCTTAACAAGTCCTTTTCCTCTGGCCTCAGCTGTTAGCACATAGTTAATTCCCACTGCTGTGTGCGGAACACATCCTCCTCTCCCTCTCCTCACGTCCCTTCCATTTATCCTCCTCTTGTATAATTTCACAATAAGTGCCATTGTCAATGCCCATATTTTGTATGTTGCTCTCTGAGTCCACGTATCCCTACATTTGGCTGCGGTTTCTGAATTCAGGCATCCCCATGTCCCTCCTGAGCGCTCCTCTCAGTGTTACCCCACGTTTAGAATTTTCTAGACAAATACAAGGATACTGAGTTTCCTTCCTGTTTGGCTTCTTTACATTCCAGAGAATCTAAGTGAATCTACACTGGTCTCCATGGTAAAAATTTTTGAAGTGTAGTTTTGGAAATCATCATGCTCAGTTAAGGTTCATTTCTTG